AACACTCCCCCATCCAATCAGAGCACAGCCAACCCCCCCATCCAATCAGAGCACAGCCAAGCTCCTTAACCAATCAGAACACACCTCCACCCAATCAGAACACAGCCAAGCTCCCACCCAATCAGCTCAAACCCCACTGGCAGTTAAAAGGAAGAAACAGCTGCGATCACACACACTACACACAGAAGCACGAAGCTGAAGACACCAGCCTGAAGATGACGAATGTAACTTCGTCGAAACGTCGCCAAGACACTTCTAATTCTACGCGGGAGAAAACCCGAATAACTAAAGACCTACATACAAACACCCGCGAAAACCTCAGAAAACATACACACACACACACACACACACACACACACACACACACACACACACACTAAACTATAAATAGAAGGGAAGGAGTGGAAAATCATCTATCAAAACACCCCGGTTATCTTAAGTCTATTCTCGAGAGTGATGTTTTGAAATACTTACTCAAATTAAACATACAGCTTTACAAGTTTGTTTCAACAAATATATTGCCAGAACAATTAAATTAAATATTATTCTAAATTGTTAGAATAAAAATTCATTTGAAGATGTGTAGATTCCAGAACAGGGATCTAAATTAAAAGATTTAAAGATTTTGTATGGATATGCATTTTACTTTTACAAATAGATCAGAAAATTATTTCTAAAATTTAAATTCAGGAGCAATAACAACAAAGCTTGTGAGAATTCAAAACAAGCTGCAAACCTGATTGTGCAAAAGTTGGTGAGAAAAATCAGACAACAGTAAGATTGCAATGTTATATATGAAGCATTCCTTTTACTGAATAATTTGCTTAATAAACAAAAATAAACAGGCTTTGGACAGAAGATACAAACCTGATAGCAGAAAGTTTGTCCCATATGATCTCTCATAAGGAAAAGGGTAAGATACAAAACCAAAGAAGACATTTTTTTTAAAAGCAGGATGGAACACTTGGAATTTCAATAGAGTTGGATTCTCCTTTGGCTCTTGAGTAATTTTTCTCCAAACCCCACAAGAGACACAAATGGAATTAAAAATCTTTAAACCCTCTGATGGTATTATCAGAAGTAATGTCTTCTGGAGTATCCCATTAGACCTGGGCCAGCTCCAGTCTTTAATGTTCAATTAACGTTCCCTCTAGTATTCTGTATGAAGTCACTGTACTACTTACCTTCAATCAATACTTCAATTAGAAAAGATGTCATTTAAAACTTAGTTCTTTACTGTTCCAAAAAGAAGCCTTTAGCAAGAGAAAAGATTCAGTACCAATTGGTCCCATGAAAATTGAAATAATGTAGAAAGAACGATTTCTATAGGGAAAGAAATATGAGAATCCAGCAACTTGACAGGCAGGATTCACAGCAGCTGCAGCACAGAATTTTTATTTGCCTTTTTCCCTCAGGAAGAATTCATAGCAGAGCAGAAGATATTCTATGTTTTTGACAACATGTTTCAAGCCCTCCAAGGGAGTTGTTCCTCCCCCAAGTATCATCATGACACAGGTTTGCAAGAGAAAAATTTCTTCCATTTAGTGTATTCATTCCAGCTGGAAAGAAAAAAATGCATTCCAGTGTTAGGTCTCTTTGAGAATGTTGATTTTGGCACAGATTTTGAGAGCTGGACCCAATTTGATATTCATGGCACTCATGAGATGTTCTTCTTTTAGCAGAAGCAGGGCCTGGCCATCTATTTCCTGGGAGCGAAATTCCTCTGCAATCTCCTGGCAGCCTAACAGATTCAAGTACCAAAGAGAATTTTGTGAGAAATAGAAACAATACACATATTTAATAGTGTTTATACAGTAACTCAGTATTTGTAAGAATCAAGAGTTTTATGTTCAAACCTGATTTAAAAAGGCTTGAGTCAAACTTGATTTCTTTAATATAATAGTTTTCTTGGCAATAATGAAAAAATGGTTTGCCATTGATGCCTTCTGGGAGGATATGTGTTTGCCTCCTTTTTTATTTCCCAGTCTGATCTATCACCCTGGGATTTAGTATTCTCCCATTCAGGTCTAACTCAGTTTACAGATATTAGCACCACATTAGATGTTTCCACTTGCTGTCACTCACATATCTTATATTGTGTCTGGCTAAAAACAGTAACTATGAGAGGGACCTTAGAGTCCTAATGGACGATCACTTAAACATGAGTCAGCAGTGTGCGGCAGCAAGCCAAAAAAGCTAATACAATCCTTGGTTGTATAAACAGAGGCATAGAATCAAAATCACGTGAAGTATTAGTACCGCTTTATAAATCCTTAGTAAGACCACACCTGGAATATTATATCCAGTTTTGGTCACCACATTACAAAAAAAGATGTTGAGACTTTGAAAAAAGTGCAAAGAAGAGCAACTAAGATGATTAAGGGTCTGGAGATAAAAACATGAAGAACAGTTACAGGCAGTGGTGGGATTCAGCCAGTTCACACCACTTCGGCAGAACCAGTAGCTAATTTTTTGTTGCCCAGGCCCAGAATGGACTTCCAGAAGTAGCATCCACACAGAGAACTGGTTGTTCACATATCTGAATCCCACCACTGGTTACAGGAATTGGATATAGCCAGTGCAGAAAAAAAAGGACTAGGGGGGACATGGTAGCAGTATTCCAGTATTTGAGGGGTTGCCACAAAGAAGAGGTGGTCAACTTATTTTCCAAAGCATCAGAAGGCAAGACAAGAAACTGAATGGAAACTAATAAAAAAGAGAAGCAATCCTAATAGCGAGGACAATTAACTAGTGGAACAGCTTGCCATCAGAAGTTGTAGGTGCTTCATCACTAGAGATTTTTAAGAAAAGACGACAGCCACTTATATGAAATGGTATAGGGTTTCCTGCTTGAGCAGGGGATTAGACTAAAATATCTCCAAAGTCCCTTCCAGCTCTATTCTGATTGATTAATTATCCTAATACCCCTGCAAAGTTCCCGTATTATTTTCATACAGAGATGGGAAGCATAGATAATGCTTCCTTAGAGTCACTGGCAAAACCAGAATTTAATGAGATAAAGCCATTTTGTTATATTAAAACATAGTATTAGGTATGTTTGCTGCCTTGAGTTATGTATAAAAATAAAGGATAAATAAAAAATCCATTTTCAGAGTTCCTGGATATAGGCAAATATATCTAAGACCTATCTAAGGGTAAGATTTCCCCAACAGTAACAATTGTGTGGAAGGAAGGTTCCTTTTGTGAAACTGCCTCCTCTATTACTTCCCTTTGCCCAGCTCATTAGGAGTTTGCTAAATGTCATCCTGAACCTGAGAAAGAGGCAGCACCAAAGCAGGAAACCCCAGTCTCTCACACAACATAGGAGAATGTCATGCCAAATACAGTTTCTATTTCAAATCAACCAATACCTTACTCATGCCAATATTTAGCTGTCCAATATACAGCCATTTACCCCATTCCTTCTCTTCAGGGCATGGGAGAGAAGATATCAGACTTGCCTTGTAGGGATGCAATGAACTCATATACTTCCTCTACACTCCAGCAGGTAGGATTGCTGGACAGGAAAACTGGATTGATACCATGCAAGTCAGAAATGGGCTGAGTCATGCTCGAATTGACAAGATCTCGCTCTCCATGACTAGATCTCACTGAAAGAGGTCCTGGTGATGTGGGGGAGAGTGCTTCATCGTAACTAGAATTATCAGATCCTCTGCTTGAATCTTCTTGGCCCTGCAAATCCAAGCATCACAAAACAGAGCATGAGAAATAAAAACTGTACACAAAAGAAAAAAGTATTGTAAAATAAAAAAATAATTAGACCATTAAATATATATCTCTATCCTATGGAACATTTTGGCCCTCACTCTTCTGGCCTTCTGGAAGAGTGTGAAGACCTGGCAAGTTGCACGAGAATCCAGGACTGGAACAAAACTCTGGGGGTGGTTGGTGACTTGAGTGTGAGCTATCTTTTTAACCTTTTTTTTGTAAGGATTTTTGGTTTTTTACTTGTAAACTGCTCAGAGCCACCTAGACAGTGAAATGGGCAGTGCATATAGTTGATAAATAAATATATATAATCATTCACCACACTGACAATATTTTTATTGGAATGAACCCAAATATGGATCATTGGCATATTTGAGAAACATTAAGAGCTATACAAGATGCAGGTGGGAAACCCCATTCGCCTTGGAAGCCTTTACGGATACTAAAAAACCATAAAGATAATTTCAGAAGTCTCCTTGCTTAAAGAATTAAATCCTTATATCTTTTGAATAAGGAATGTTCCATAACACAAAGACATAATAAACAAAACAGATATAGCAGCAGTGCTAAATTAAAATAAAAATAAGAGCACATTTTTTTGATGGATTAAACTAACTAAATAAATGGAAAATTAAAAAAATATGTAATAAATTATTAACATGTTTATTAACTTAATGAATTGAAAAGCTGCTATTGTGTAGGATAGATCTGGGCATTTTACAATCTCTGGGCTACATCTGGCTTTTTGGCTGTCCTTGTCAGCCTGTGTTAGGTCATTTGGAAACTGAGTGCAGTCCTTTAGTTGACTGGTGAGAGACAGAGCTTTTCTGTATCTATAGCAGAAGAGCAGCAGCTGGGCTGAGGTAAGATGAGGATCCACACTCCCTCAACATATGGACAAGAGTGGCAGAATTAAGTTCAGTGTATTGGTTTAGCCCTCCATAACAGTCCAAATTTTTTATGTGGCAACTTGGGAAAATAATTGCCTACCCCAGTGTAGGAGAAGAGCAGGCAAGCTGGGTAGAGTTAAATGTGTCATCAGCTTAGAGTTGTCACAAGCGATTCAAGTCCAGCCCCCCTTGAATGCCGTTGTTTCTTATCTAACAGCAATTTAATGCTGACTGTTAGTTGACTACATTCTTGTATATAGACTTGAATACTAAATCTTCTGAATTGCAACTTAACATAAGGTCCTGATCCTTTGTGCCTGACATAGTTTGTTTGGAAAAAACCATGTATAAAAATAGCTCATGCCTATTAGAACAACAGTATTTAGCTACAGGAAAGACTAAAGATTAAGAAAACTGGAATTGCAAATTAATTTTTTAATCAGTAGCTTGGGAAATAATGGACCAGTTGAAAGACAAAACAGAAAGAATCTTGATCCTGAAACTTAGGAATGAAGTCAAAATTGTACATTAGTTTCCATTTATGCTCCTAATAAAAACCAAAAATAATTTTACAAAATATTTTTCCAATGCTCATTGAAAGGGAGAGAACAAAATATTAGTTATGGGAGACATACATGAAATAAGAGAAGAAAACGAAGCTTCTGCAAAAGTATTTTCAATAGACGGATGAATTGGCAAAACAGACACAGGGTAGCTACAAAATCCAAAATAGAGAGATTATACTTTATTTTGACAAGAAATCATACTCCAGAATTAATGTATCTTGGGTCTCTAAGGCCCTAACACCATCTATTACAGAAGTATAGATTCTGATCACAATGTAATTTTAATAGGACAGAATCTTGGAGAAAAATTGCTTTTTATATAGAAGAGGAATGACAGGTTGTTATTTTAGGACAGCACAAGAAATGCAAAGCGGATTCCCCCCTCCCCCCACAAAAAACAACAACTGTAAGGACCCACCCCACTTTACATCTTAAGACAGAACTCTTGGAATATCTCTTCCAACAGGCATCTTTATTAAGAGAAGATGGTTGCAGGCGTTCTAGACAGGATCTGAGGGGCCAACCCCTACCATTCAAGGTTTTAAGTGTTCCCAAGCAGCCCCCACCCCATCGTCCTTCCAGCGACAACCCCAGGCGTTATATTTCCACCCCCTTTTCCTCACAGCCAGCAGAAGGGAGACTTCAGAGAGTAATAGATGAAAGGTGATAGCCATATTGTTATGGTCAGTCCTCTTGGTGAGATCCACATTCAGTCTCTTTGAAGTTTTAATGAAAGAAGTGAGAGCCATAAAACCCCTTTGCTCATTCCCCCTTCCCCTTCGTACTATGACAGAATCCAGAGGGCAGAAATGGGGGTTTCCATAGTCGATAACTAGAAATGAAACATAATTGGATTCTGACATCCTGCCCCCTTAAAAATAAGAGAGATCCACCTGAAAAGAAAACAAAACAGGTATAAAAGTTAGTCTGGAGGGGAATGAGTGTGCCACCGGGCGGGCAGGCAGGTGTCTTGCTCGGCTGTGCCTTGGGGGGCACTTTTTTCAGTGCCATTGTAACTTTGAACGGTCACTAAGCGAACTGTTGTAAGTCGAGGACTACCTGTACTTTATCACTTTTTTCCTTTTTTTTGGTCATCAGGTTTTTGACACCTTGCTAGGCGACTGGTGGTACTCGGATATTGCCATATCCTAAAAGTGGTACAATGGGTGAAAAGGTTGAAAAGCCCTGTACTAGGTACTGAGTTGCTCCATGATATCTCCTAGAATCTAGGATTTCCTTTATCTCGAAGTGTTGTTAGCCCTCCACCATGATTGGAGGTGGGGGGGGGGTTTGGCCGTAAAGGTGACTGATGCTCTCTTTTCAGCAAACTGCAATGAAAAATTAGGTGTATTTGCCTGAGATTTTTGGGTAATTCTAATTCTACTGTTACTGGGTTTATGATTTTTTTAATTGGAAAAGGCCCTATATATTTTGGTCCAAGTTTTTTACAGGGTTGTAGTGATTTTAGATATTTTGTAGATAAGTACACCATTTCTCCTATAATGAATGGTGTAGGCTCAACTTTCTTTATTGGCTTGTGCTTTGTATGCCTGCCTAGCTTCATCTGGTGCTTTTCTAACTATAGGCCAGGTGTTTTGTAATTGTTCCATCCATTCTTTCAGTGATGGGATCGCCAGTTCGTTTGGGGTTAGTTCTGGCATGGGGTTGAAACTTTGATTGGTAGCTATTTGAAAAGGAGTGTAACCTGTGCTGGAGTGGACTGCATTATTGTAGGCCACTTCTGCGAAGGGGAGTAGGTCCGTCCAATCAGACTGTTGGAAATTAATAAAGCATCTTAAATATTGCTCAAGTACTGAGTTAGAATGTTCTGCTTGTCCATTCCCTTGAGGGTGATGGCTAGATGTCAGTCCCTGAGTAGTCCCTAAGAGGGATAAAAATTCCTTCCAAAATGCAGAGGTAAATTGCACTCCCCTATCAGATATGATGTGTTCGGGTGCCCCATGCAATCTGTAAATATGCTAGACGAAAAGTTTCGCTAAGGCTTTTGCGGTGGGAATCTTTTGGCAGGGGATAAAGTGCACCTATTTGGAAAACAAGTCCGTGACCGGCCAGACAACAGCATTCCCATTGCTTTCTGGTAATTCCACTATAAAATCCATGGCTATTTCCCTCCAGGGGGCTGAGGGATTTGCCACTGTTTGTAACAGTCTGGGCGATTTCCCTTGCAACCTCTTTGCAGTTGCACACTTTGGGCAGCTGGCCACGTAACTTTCTATGTCCTTTTTCATGGATGGCCACCAAAATTGCCGTTTAATTAAGTGTAATGTTTTTACAAATCCAAAATGCCCTGCTGATTTTGTATCGTGGCAAAGCTGCATGAATGTGACTGTTTGGGTTGTTGGTATATATAACTTTTCCCCCACCCAAGGCAGCCCGTCTTTCATTGTGTACACGTGTTTGCATATTAATAATTTTTATTTGCGGTCACAGACCAAAATGCAAGTGCAACAAAAAAAAACACAAGAAAAATATAATCACAAACAATTAAACACTAGAAGCCTTGGCTAAAGGGAATTACAATGTTCTCCTCTAATAGTTACAGCTCTTAAAAGAAATTTAGAAACCTGAGAAGTAATATAGGGGGAGCCGTCCCCTAGACAATATAAGACCAAATTACTAACATTGGAACCATAGGGATCAATTCCAAGGAGAGACAATAATTTAATTCTGCCTGTGTTATACATAGGGCAATATGATAAGACATGCTCCACAGTTTCAACTTCAGCCCTATCACAGGGGCATAATTGCTCACTAAACAGGAGCCTCTTGAATCGCCTGTCGAGTAGTGCTGAGGGCAAGACATTGAAACGGGCTAGGGAAAAGACTCTTCTATACTTGGGGATGGTTAGAGTATAGAAATATGAAGCCATTCTCAATCCATAATTATTAGAATGGCTGAAGATCAAAGGGGAACAGGTTTTGTTAGCTCTGGCTCTTAAATATTGCAAATCTATGTCCACAAGCCGTTGGACTACCCTAAACTGGGCATCCTTGAGACCATAATCTCCCAGAGCATCCCCCGTAAAACCTAGCAAGTGGAGTTTCTTCATCAGCTCCCTCTCCCAATGAGAGGTATGAGAGTCAGCAAACACCAGGGAGAGGTAGCTACCAGGGACTGCCAAAAAGAGCACCCGGAACCACCATTTGAAGGTATTAATCCACGCCATGCATTCGACTGAACAAATGCCCAGTTCCAGGTACATCGAAGAAAATCCAACACAGGGAGGAAGACCCAGAAGTTTCCTAAGGAAAACAGCCTGGGTTCTTTCAATACAATCCTTGAAGCCTCGTATCCATATGGGAATTCCATAAAGAATTTGCGCCAGGGTTTTGGCTTTATATATACGCAGAGCAGAAGGAATAAACTGGCCTCCTTGGGTAAAAAAGAATCTTATAATCTGCTGATGGCTGCAGGAGGCTGAATTCAGCACCTGGGTTCGATGTTTAGTCCAAGCACCAGTATTCTGAAATTGAATACCTAAATACT